CCTTCTTTCATTTTCCAGATTCTGGACTTTATCTATTGACCGGTTTTGATTTTTATTTTGATCTATTTTGAATTGCGTGACACTGAAAACCAGCTATTGAGGAGGAAAACGGAAACTAAGAAAAAGCGTGGACGGGTCAACTTATTAGTGTAACATTGGAAGTTAATGGACGGTTCAGTTTTAACAGGTCATTTCTTTTTCGTTTAGCTGGGCATTTACGCACTGCAATTATTTCAGCTGATACAATATAGGTACCCTATCTAAGGATCGCACCGGGAGCACAATGCCAACAGGAACAAAAATGATGCCCTATTTAAGGATTGAGAACCTCAAAAATCATGCTCATCACGCTATATAGTCCACGTATCAATGCGCTAAAGACTTCTTTATTTGAAGGTGCAGTATTTTCAGTAAAAAGCTGTTGTAGAAAAGCGCGTATGTGAAGTGGAACTAAAGCATATAGAAGTACTATGTCGAACAGACTTTTATCTTAGCTCAATCTCAGAGCCCGCGGGTTTCCGCGGTCACTGTTTCTTGGTGCTGACCAGAGGGATCACGGCCTCTGGGATTGAACTTGGCTCGGATCACGAGACACCGCTAAAACACTGTACTTGTCTGTACATGAGGATCATGACGTGACTTTTTCACCACGAAAACGTGCTGTGTTTCTGTTGCTGTGTCCAGTTTTATCATCACGCGTATTACGGAGAAACATAATATAGTAATAATATACGGAAAAGCCGGTTCACACAAAAGCGTGCATATTCGGACCCCATTCGGACATCAGATCTCACGCTACGAGAAACACACCCTAATTTAGTGTGTTAGTCTACAAAGAAACAATAGCGTCAACAGCATTTTATTCGTGCTCATTCAGGACTGCTTGCATTGCGCTGTGCAAAAACAGTTCAGTTATACTGAGTACATTGTTAATTTCTCGTGACTGTTACTGAAAAAATGCACGTTAAAGATCATAAGAGATTATAATTTTCGTCTATTATTTCCGCAAGATCACTTTTCAAGCACGTATCTAACACACCAAAAAGCAATTTCAAGACTGATCGCAAATCTATTCAGTCTATTCTTACCCTGCAGCTGAAGGGTGACCCGAAGTGGAATAACAGCTCTCCGCGGTGTACGAGATTTAGTGAGGTAACTAACTGAGAAAGTTATAATCTTTGAGTGACTTAGATCGTTACATCAATTACAGTAGTTTATAACTTTTCACCCAGGACTTCTAAAAATTTCAGCGGCAGTACATAGGGAGAGGAAGATTACATAATCGTTCAACTTAAGAAACTAAGAAATGACAATCTACAACTTTTAACAGCTACCTAGAAAGTAGTTCATTGAGGCTTAATAGGTGCAAGACAGAAAAGCACTTGTTTTGAGTTATAGCCTACTGATACAGTTCAGTTTGTGGCCTCATGTTCCACTCACGAAGGGACGAAGAGGATGAGTGAGTGAGTGAGTGATACAGTTCAGAAGTAACAACCCAGGCAGCCAAAATCAAGAAAGTACGAGGGTCATTTTTGGTCTCACTGGGCCGCTCCCTGGCTTTGAACTGGAAATCCCCGAAACACGCGCGAACCGACGCGCAATCGAGGGAACTCGACGCGAGCACTGCCGGTGTGGACAACGTGCTGAATTTGCGTGCTCTTCGTCACCGACAAAATTTCTTCGTTGTAACTTCGTTCTATCGCTAACATTCTGGCACGGTTTTCAGAATGTTTCATGGGGCGTTTTAAAAGAGTGAATTCCTTTTCCTTTCAGACAGAAGTGGGACTGAAGTAAACGAAGCAGAAAGATGAAGTTTTTAGTTGTTTGTCTTGTCTCGTGTATGATTCCACACTTGGTGTTTTCCACTGCACAGTCGGTGAGGCTTTAGCTTGAAGTTTTCATTCCGTAACAATACCATTAAATAAAGTTGTTTGCCCAGAAAACCAACTATATTATTCGCATTTTTGCTTTTCCGTCTTTTCATCTGGTACCATAACTTTTCTTTGTGTTGTTTCTCGTTTTTCCGGTTTTACCACTTCATTAGGTTACGCAATGAATGTTTAATCGCAGGCAAAGATCATCGTCTCTTGTCGTAGGATATAGTTAGGAATAGGTCTTGTTGTGCCAAATGTTATCGAAGTAAGAAATTAGTTTGCCGAATAAAGAAAACTAATCCAACAGCTTCATTCGAGAGGAACCTAATCCGCAAACGATATTAACACATCTCGGTGTTGAGATTTGCAGTGGACGATATGGTGGGCAATAGAGGGGATCTTTATTATATGCCACTATACGTGGATATAAAACTGTGAGCTTTTTCTCAAACAGCAAACTAAAAGTCTCTCTTTTAGTTTTATTCTCAGGATAAGACCCAGTCCCCGTCGTCCGTCCAATGCTCGACATGTTGTAGTGCTGGCGTACCGGGTGTCCCTGGGGTGCCCGGGATACACGGAAGAGATGGGACCAAGGGCGCCCGAGGGCCTGTGGGCCCCCCCGGCAAAGTGGGACCTAAAGGTCCTGAAGGGTCCAAGGGCGAAAAGGGTACCCAGACCTCTCAGAAACAATGTGCGTGGAGCAATCTTAGTGATGGAAGAGACTATGGACTGATAAACTGAAGGTAATAAAATAGCAGTCAAAAATTAGAAAACTGCGACTTGATATCTATCTGATTATCTAAATTTCAGGAGAATATCTAAGCTTCAGGCGTCCACTAAACGTTCCAAGGTTTATTCCTGAGCCGGTCATCCATGAACTCTTCAGATTCCAGGCGCAGATAATACGATCACGCACTCTTTATATTTATTTCAGAGCCTGAATTCTTAAGTAGGTCATCCATACGCGCATTAGGTTCTAGACGCATATAAAATATACTATCACGCCCTCTTGCTACAGACACCGACTTTTGGTAAGTGAAGGATAAAGTAATGTAGTATTATGAAATAAAAAACCTCTGTTTTTAGTCACTGTTTATAACGTGATCTATGTTTTTAGGATTGCGTTTTTACCAAGCAGTCCCATAATACAGCTTTGAAAGTGGAATACAATGGTGACCTCCGGATAGCTTTCTGTCTGGATTGCTGTAAGCGCTGGTATTTCACCTTCAACGGTACAGAATGTAACGGTCCGCTTGCCATTGATGGTCTTGTTCACATTGCTTCAAACCACGGCAAAACAGACACCAACATACACAGGGTGCATCACATTGCAGGTTATTGCCAGGGAATTTCTGCAGGAACCGTCCGAGTGGGGATAAATGTGGGGGACTGTGTGGGGAAGAAATCCGGGTCTGATGCCTATACCGGGTGGAACTCCGTGATGCGGATCATGATCGAGGAGGTTCCTGCACCCCAGAAGTAGTTCAAAGACAACGCAGAAAAAAGGATCGAAAACCCTGATTAGCTTAAGTACCCTAAGTACCAGTGGGATGCGTCTCGCGGGATCGGCTGACCGAAACGGGAAACCGCGTATGAAA